TGGCCTGGGCTTGCCTTGCCTTTTGGCCTGGCCTCATGGAATAGCATGGCATCTTGGCCTGGCCTGGCTTCTTGGCCTAGCCTTTTGGCCTGGCCTGGCCTTTTGGCCAGGACTTTTGGCCTGGACTGGCCTTTTTCCCTTGCCCTTTTGCCTATCCTGGCCTTTTGGCATGGCCTGGCTTTTTTGCCTGGCCTTTTTGCCTGGCCTTTTAGCCTGGCCTGGCCTTTTGTCCTGGCATTTTGTCCTCACCTTGCCTTTTGGCCTGGTCTGTCTTGGTCTTGCCTTTTGGCATGGCCTTTTGGCCTGGCCTGACCTTTTGGCCTGGTCTTGCTTTTTGGCCTGGCCTTTTTGCCTGCCCTTGCCTTTGGCCTGGCCTTGCCTTTTGGCCTGGCCTTGCCTTTTAATCTGACCTTGCCTTTTGGTCTGGTCCTGCCTGGCCTTGCCTTTCAGCCTGTCCTGACTTTTTGGCCTCACATTTTGGCCTTGCCTGGCCTTTTTTCCTGGCCTTTTGTCCTGTCCTGGCCTTTAGTCCTGGCCTGGCCTTTCGTCCTCCCTTTTGGTCTGGCCTGGGCTTTGGGACTGGTCTGGCCTGGCTTTTACTTTTGGCCTGGCCTTGCCTTTACTTTTGGCCTGGCCTTTTGGCCTGGCCTTTCCTTTTGGCCTGGCCTGGCCTTTTGGCCTGGCCTTTCCTTTTGGCCTGGCCTGGCCTTTTAGCATGGCCTGGCCTTTTCTCCTGGCCTTTTGGCTAGGCCTGGCCGTTTGGCCTGGCCTAACCTTTTGGCCTGAACTTTTGGCCTGGCCTGGCCTCACCTTTTTGCCTAGCCTTTTGTTCTGTCCTGGCCTTTTGGCCTGGATTTCCTTTTTGCCTATGCTTTTGGCCTTACTTTGCTTTTTGGCCTGGCCTTTTGGCCTTGTCTTTTGGCATGGCCTTGACTTTTGGCCTGGCCTTTTGGCCTGCCCTTGCCTTTTGGCCTGAACTTTAGGCCTGGCCTTGCCTTTTGATATGACCTTTCCTGGTTTTGCCTTTTAACCTGGCCTGGCATTGCCTTGTCTTTTGGCCTTGTCTGGCCTGGTCTTGCCTTTGGACCTGGCCTGGCATTTTATCCTGGTGTTTTTGCCTGGCCTCACATTTTGACCTGGCCTGAACTGAGCTTGCCTTTTGTCCTGGCTTGGCCTCTTGTCCTGGCCTGGCCTTTTGTCCTTGCCTTTTGGCCAGGCCTGGCCTCAACTTTTGGCCTGGCCTTTTGGCCTGGCCTTGCCTTTTGGCCTGTCCTATTTGCCTGGCCTTGCCTTTTGGCCTGCCCTTTTGTGCTGGCCTGGCCTTTTGGTCTGGCCTTCTGTCTTAGCCTTTTGGCCTGCCCTGGCCTTTTGCCTTGGCCTTTGGCTCTAGCCTGGCCTTTTGGCCTGGCCTGTCCTTTTGGCCTTGCCTTTTGGCCTGTCCATTTGGCCTAGACTTTTGGCCTGTCCTGTCCTTTTGGCCTTGCCTTTTGGCCTGGCCTATCCTTTTGGCCTGGCCTGGCCTCTTGGCCTTGCCTTTTGTGCTGGCTTGGCCTTTTGGCATGGCCTAGCCTTTGGCCTGGCCTTTTAGCCTGTCCTGGCCTCTTGGCCTTGCCTTTTGTGCTGGCCTGGCCTTTTGGTATGGCCTGGCCTTTTGGCATGGCCTCGCCTTTTGGCCTGGACTTTTGACCTGTCCTGGTCTTGTCTTTTGGCCTAGCATTGCCTTTTGGCCTGGTATTGCTTTTTGGCAGCTCCATGAGCAGATGCCCAGCTGCTTCCTTGTGCACCAGTGGTGTTCACAGTGTTTTGTGGAAACTTTGGGCCCTCCAGGGCCACCTTGGGAACATGGACAAGGCTAAGTGGTGGGGGAGGGTCCCCTCTCACCAAGCCCTGCCCTTGGCTCACTCAGGAGTCAGGCCAGCCCCAGTTTCCTGTGTTTCATGTATTTGACTTTCCATGTAAACTCTTGAGGAAAGCATTCGTTGCTACAAGCTATCTCTGGAACGTCCCTACACACAGCCCAGGCAGGAAATAGAGGCACTGGCACCAGGAGCTTAGTATTGGGCAGGTGAGGCTGCTTCAGGGGAGCCCAGCCCTGCTTAGAACCCCACATCTCCTGTCACAGCTGGCAGGGCTGCCCTATCAGATGCTGCTGCAAGCAGCCACCAGTAGGCTGTGGGCATGCAGCTGCAGGTCAGGTGGCGATCACGGATAAGGTGCACACCCTGATCAGCTCCATCACGGGCATGCACAGTGTGGAGGTCAGTGGCTTCCAGGTACGTGGGCCTCCCCTCCCCAGGCCAGGGTTGCCATGGGGCAATAGGATATGGATGGTTCCTCTAGATACCTGAAACAGGAATTCCTCTGGAGGTGGAGCTTGCTGGAGGGTACACTGAGTCAGAGCAGTGACCTCATTGGAGGCCTCCACATGGCTTTCCTGTGCAACCCAGAACTCTAGGAACCCCACTCCAGCAGAGTGGCTCATTTCCCTACACTTCACTAGCCCCCATGCTCCTGAGTCCCTCCAGCCCTGGATAGCAGCAGCCAGTTCTGTAAGCCAGGGAGATGGCATAAGCAAGGCAGGAGTCCCTCAGGGTCGGATCTTGTCATTACTGATGTTGCCTAAAGGGGTTTGAACCGAGCAATCCTCAATATCAGCGCAGGCCCCTCCTGCTGAACTATCATGCGCCATGCACGGCATTGTATCTCTGGTCTTCACACTGTCTCTGCCAGGAGGGTGGTACTCCTGGTTTACATTGAGAACTTGGAGAGATGGAGATTGTTAATACATGTCTTAAGGTCATGCCACTTATGAGTGTGGAGTTGGGGTGTACCCACTGGTTTCTGACCATGAGAACCCCATGGCATCTCACCATCTCTGCTGACCTGTGCCAAGGCTGAATTGAGGCCAGGATGTGGTGGTGAAACCGAACCATCACTCTGTTGACTCAAGTCTTTTCTCAACCCAGTGGAAAGTGGCAGAGAGTCAGGACTTGAGGGATTCAGCCTTTTGCTTTCCTCTAACCCACAGTGGACACTGAAGCAGAACTTCCCTTCCTTCCCCTCTCTCTCAGCTCCCACCAGCCTACAAGCCATGGAAATCCATACCTGTAGTCTCCACCCAGCCCCCACTTTCCCCCTTGCTGGCTTTCTGTGTGTCTGGGGTCAGCATCTTCTAGGCACATCTAAGAAGTCAGCAGCGCAGCCCTCGGCTGCTCACCCAAAGCCTGGTTTGTGTTCTCTCCCTAGCTCTGCCAGACCCATTCCCAGTTGCTGCAGTACATGGAGTGAAACAGGTGAGATGCAACCCTCTGAGGTAGAGGGACAGAACCCTCATTGATAGATGCATAAACTAGTGCTCAGAGCAAGGGTCGCTTACAGCTCACAAGTCCAGCATGGGAACCTGGGATCTTACGGCTCCAGTTCCCATGCTGCTGTGCATGATTCTGTTGCATCCCCTTCATTTATCATGGGACAGCCCCTTGGAAGGCATCTCTGGAAACAGAAGCTGCAGAAAGCCTGTGGGAGCATCTCCTGGCGGGAGCTGGTCTTGTGCTGTTGCTCTGAGCCTCCAGCCCTGCTTTGCCTCAGGCTCACCATGTGGTCTGCGCAGCTCCTGTGTGTTCCCATGCCCTGCATATGTTGGCCTGGCTGCTGTGTCCTGGCCTCCTGGAGGAAAAGTGAAAAGCATGAACTTACAGGGCTTTTGGTTCCAGGTGCAGGTGATACAGACAGGAGACAGGGAAATACTGGATAGGAAAGGGTGGTTCCCTGGCAAAGGCCCCACCCTCAATCCTGAAGACCCATGGCCCTAAATGAGGACAGGTGTATCTGGTTTTGTGCCCCAAAATTAGCCTTTTGGCCCACCATTCCCTGCATGTTGCCGCCATATAAACTCAAGACCTTAGTGGGCACACACACAAGTGGCTGAATGTCAAGAACAGCAGACTAGCAATGACAGAACAATGCAGCAGAGAAAGGGAGAAGAGGAGGGACACCTGGACACTAAGGGGAGTTTGGCTGGGGGCAGTAGGAGACAGCCCAACTCCAGGGGAAGACCACCTTCCTACTCCAACCCCTCTTCCGACTCCCCAACCATCTCACTGGGAGCCACCTCCACCACTCAGCAAAACCTTGCACTTATCCTTTGAGCCCACGTGTGATCCAATTTTGGGGGGAAACTGGGCAAGAGTGCAGAATTCAGAAAGCTGTCACACTGGCCCTCTGCCCTTAAAATAAGGCAGAGGGTCAATTGAGCTAATTAACAACACAATTAACAACACAAGCAGCCTGCAGACAGCACACTGAAAGAGCTTTGTAACACATGCCCACTTGGGCTTCAGGAGTCGAGGACACCCACCTCTAGACCCTGCCGTGGGCCAAAGCCCAAAAGCGCTTGCCCCAGCTTCTGCACCTGCCCATCTGTATGCTCCCTCTAGGGGTTTGAGCAGTGGGGGTGAGCCAATAGGTGAGCCACCCCATTACACATTCTGTGAGGGGAGGTGGGGAACTCCCATTTCACAGGCATGTGAGTCAGGTGGGGGTGGCTCCTGGACCGCCTGCCCTCTCAGTGGATCCTTTGCATGCTGCAAACAGCAAAACAAAGCCATTCAAATATGGATGCTATTCTTACTTGATGTGCACAGTGTGAAGGGAAAGAAGATAGTGAAGGGGGGCCAGAGGACCACCATCCTGACCTGTTTGGATTCTCTTTTTTTATGGAATATTAAGCAAAAACCCAATACACAGAGCCTCTCACAGACAGGTAAGAGAGTTGCTGTCAGAGGGACCAGAGCTGATTTGAGCCACTTCTGAGCTTAATCCTGGGACTGAAAGCTGAGGGCTCATAGCGAAGCTCCCAAGGACCTTCTTGTGTTTGCTCTTAGGGATGGAGCTGAATCAATGCCTCTTTCTTCCAGAGCCAGATAGACATCAACCTGTTCACCTTTCCACATTCCACATCCGATTTCCTTGTTATCACCACCTGGTGATAGCATTTTTTTTAAAGAGTACACTGTTTATTAAAATGAAAAACAGAAATGTACATTTTTGTTCTTTGTTTGCTTTAAGAAATTTGATCAAGTTGCAAGGAAATGCTGGGGCATGACTCTATACCTCCTCGGGTAGGGTGGCAGGCAGTGAAGATGGCTGTGTGGCATGTGGCTCCTCCAGGGGGTGGTCTGGCCCCCAGGCATCACTAATCAAAGTCACTGCCAAGCAGGATTCAGTCCATGGCAATGTCCCCAGTGCTTCCTCCTAGGGGGCCCCAAACCTTCCCCAAAGGCCCACCTGCCTGCTGCCAGTAAGCCAGGGGCTGGCCTCCCCCCGAGGACTTCAGGACACCAGGTGGGCTCTAGGGCACTAGGCCCTGGCAGGCAGGCTCTGAGCTATGGAACAGATTGAGGCTGGAGGCCAGTGTCACTGCTGCCCAGATTTCTTCTCCTTCTGGAAGCTGAAGCTTGTACATCTGTTCAGTTTTCTTTGTTTTTGAGCAAAGTAGTCAGCCCGGGCAGTGCCTGCTTGCGATTCCAGGATGTAGTTAACCTTGAGCACAATTTCATTGATGGTAGCAGCATCCGATTCAAAGTAGAGGTGTTTATAGTCGTGATTGCTTAGATACGTGAGTTTAAATATTGCGTGACTGGGGCTTTTTTCTTCAGCAAGGTCACAGGAACAGAGCAGGTCAGAACCAATTGAGTTGGGTTTCTGCTTAATACAAAACTTAGTGCTGGCTTTCTGATTCGTAACAGGGTCTATCTCTACTTTGTCTCCAGAGATACCTAGCTGTATGTTGGTTGTGAATCGCAATCTGTGGACTATTCTGACTTTGAATGACTTGTAATGGTGGCTGCTAAACATATCCTGTTCTGTGGCTATGTCAATATGCAAATCCTCCTCAAAAACCCCATCTGCCCTTGAACTGTTCTCGTGGACCAGGCAGAACTCCCATGTGCTTTGGCTCTCCAAAGTGCTGTCCAGGTCAATGGCGTCATTGGGCTTGCTCTGCTTCTCCAGGCAGTACTGAGGGCCTGAAGTTTTCTGGGATCCTTTTCTTCACTTCACTGCCTTTAGTAAGATTTCCTTCATGGTGACCTTTGTGTCACCTGGCCAAAGCTGTGGCAACAGAGGCCAACAACTCCACCTTCTTCTCCGTGTCCTCCTCAGATCTGATGTCCAAGTGGCTTGGGGAGAGTGAGAAGCTGGTCAAGAACCTGTTTGAGCTGGCGAGGCAGCACAAGCCCTCCATCATCTTCATCGATGAGGTGGATTCCCTCTGTGGATCCCGAAATGAAAATGAGAGCGAGGCTGCCTGGAGGATCAAAACGGAGTTCTTGGTCCAGATGCAAGGGGTGGGAAATAACAACAATGGAAGTCTGGTTCTCGGAACCACAAACATCCATGGGTGTTGGATTCAGCCATCAGGAGGAGGTTTGAGAAGCGAATTTACATTCCCTTGCCAGAGGAAGCTGCCCGAGCACAGATGTTCTGGTTGCATCTGGGGAGCATCCCCCACAACCTCACGGATGCAAACATCCACTAGCTGGTCCGGAAGACAGAAGGCTACTCAGGTGAGGACATCAGCATCATCGTGCGGGACTCCCTCATGAGTCCCTTCCGTGAGGAAGGTGCAGTCAGCCACCTTCCGTGAGGAAGGTGCAGTCAGCCACATACTTCGAAAAGGTCTGCAGCCCCTCCCACGCCAATCCCAGCATGATGATTGATGACCTCCTGACCCCATGTTCACCAGGGCACCTGGGGTACATGGAGATGACTTGGATGGACATTCCTGGGGACAAACTCTTAGAGCCTGTAGTTTTCATGTCGGACATGCCACGGTCTCTGGCTACCACCCGGCCCACAGTGAATGCAGACGACCTCCTGAAAGTGAAGAAATTCTCAGAGGACTTTGGCCAGGAGAGTTAAAAGCTGCCTCACTTGCGCGATGGTGAAGGTGGGAGGTTGGTTAGGGCAAATCCAGGCACTCCCCATGTCAGCAGCCAGACGGGGCTCCAGGGCTTGTCCCAAAGTCACTAGAGTTCCCTCTGCTGTCTGGCCGCCCACCAGGGAGCTGGAAAGAAGGGCTTTGCAGCTGCAGAGACACTCTGCCACCCTGGGGCACATGGTGGACACTGGCTCTTCCTACTTCCTCCTCTCCTGGATGCTCACCAGCTCCTACCCCCTTTTTTTCTCCCATCTTTTGTTCCCCTAAATTAATGCTGCTTGGATTTTTGTCTTGTTTATAAATAAAGATAAATTCATCTGGAAAAAAAAAAGAGATGGTTGGAAGAAAAAGCAAATTCCTGTCCTCAAGCCATGTGAGGATCTAAAACAGAATGTAATTACTTAACCCTTAATGCAGCGTACTTGCAAGAGAAAAGTCACCTTCCTCTAGGGTGAGGGCCACAGGAATGGGTGGGAAAGCCACCTTTCCTGGTGCTCCATAGCACAGATGATGACCCGAGTTCCTCACCGCCTCCCTCCCACTTCAAACACAGCCTCCCTCGGGCTTTGGGACAGAAGCGGGATTTGTTGTGTGACCCCTCTCTCATATTCCAACTTGGGCCTTGGGTCTGGCTGCAGCCTCAGACTCTTTTTGACTCCAGGCCTGCATACTTGGCACTCCCCCAGGGGGAGTCTGGCCACTGGCGCCTGAACCCTAACCTCGTGACTTGACTCAGCCACAGTGGCAGCCCCCGGGGATGGGGTACAGCCTGTGTTCCAGGTGGTATGCTAGGCGCAGTGGCTCTGAGCTAGGATATTCTATGGTCCCTGGCAAGGAGAGGAAATCGGGGCCCAGGGAGGTGACTTCAGGAGGATGGCATGCACAGGCTTCCCATGAGTGAGCCAACAGCAAGTGGTGGAGCCAGCCTCCAAACCTGGCTGCGCTGATTTGAGGCCTTGCGTTCCTCCTATCCTGCCTGCCTTTATCCTTGAAGTCAGCTTTCCTCCTGAATTACCCATATGGGTAATTGTCACTGCCATCATCCCTCTCAGACAGGCTGGATCCAGGTCATCTTTGATGCCTTTCTGCCCTTGTGTCCCACACACCTGTAACAGCCACCAGGTAGTCCTGCATTCCCACACTTCTCCCACCACTGGGATGTGGCCACAGGTGCTCCTTCCCTTGCCCTCCCTCTGCCCCGCTTGCTTTCCTTCTCCCCACTTCTTCCCATGGGCCTATCACCCACCATTGGGAGAATCTTTGTCAAAGCCCATCAGTCATTTTAGAAACCTATAAAGGCTGCAAACTTTTCGTTTCTGCATCCCAAGCTAATAAGATCTGTCACCAAACCACATGCATTGGTACCATTAACTGAACAGCACTGCCCCTGTCCATGAGCAGGCCCCAGGCTTCACCTCCTCTATGCCTTTGCTCACAGGAGTTCCTTTCTTAAACTCTTAATTATTCAAGGCCCAGTTTAGATGCTGTCACCTGGAAGGAAAGCTGAGGAGGCATACATTTTCATAAACAACCTTAGAGAAACTTGAAAGCCACAGAGACGTGTTTGAGAAGAGCATCTCCCCAGCTTAGGAGGGCACTGTGTTGTGGGCAGGGGCAGTAGAGAGGAGTGGTATTGGAGAGGGATGACAGGTTGGCAGCAAGGGGCTCAGGATGCCTTGGAAGGTGGGAGTGGATCACACTTCCTGGGTGGTGGAGGTGGAAATCTTTTTAAAAATTTAGATGACAGCTCACTCTGTTTGCACATGTGACTACAGCTGGGCTTGGTTTTGTAGGCACGGCAGCACTGTGAGAAGAGCACAGTCAACAGAGAGATGCTTGCTCCACTCTCTTGTGGGCCTGAGCAAGATCCAGCTGCACCCCCCACCCCCTGCCCCTCATATGCATTCCCCCTCTGGCCTTGGGGAACTCCAGAGTCCCCTTCATCCCCACCCTTCTTGGTGCAGCAGGCCTTGCTGAGGTGGTGGGCTCTGGGCTGCAGGCGTCTCAGGCCTGCAGAGCCTCTGGTTCAGTCAGCCTCCCTCTCATGGCTGCTCCCCATTTCTCTCCACTGCTTTCTCTCATCCCACCCAGCTATTTGGCTTCACAAAAGAGTACAGAGCGGTGCTGTCACCCAGGGAGCTCAGCATGAAAGGATTCTTTCCTTTTGCACCTTCCTGGGTTAGGAGGAAGCAGTGTAGTGTGCACTGGCTTGCTGTGACTTGGGCAAGCAGTGAAAGTAGACAGGAGGGGACAGAGGGGCAAGGATGGGGATCCTCTCAGGCAAAGGTCCCAAAGAAGCTTGTGTTAGGGGGTAGGTGGGCTTCAGTTTGGGTCATGGTTTCATCATCCATGAGCCATGTAACTTGGACCAGTTTCTTTCTCTCTCAACCTCAGTTTCCTCCTGTGAAAAGGGAGCAGATAGTACAGCCCACTTAGCGAGATGGTTGCCCTGGAGATTAAATGGGATATAATTTAAAGAAAAAGTGCTAGTGTTTCTTCATCACACATGGACCCACCTGGGGACCCCCTTTGCTGCGACAGCACAAGTGTCTGTTGGACCTGCACTCACCTTCTCCCCACACATCTCTTTTTCCAGGCAGCCTCAGTCAGAGGCTCTTGCTCCTGAATCCAGCTGTGCACTTTCCCCGGGTGGCATAGGCACCAGCTGTGGGGCACCATGCAGCTGGTAAGGACACCTGCCCCAGCCTCTTGTGCTGCAGGTGTTGGGATGAGACAGAGCCTGGGAAGAGATGCACCATCAATCCTGTTCTCTCCTGGGGCCGAGAGCCAGAAAGGGTCAGCCCGAGCGGGCCCATTGATGTCCACTGGGGGGCACTGCTGTCCTGTCTTACTGCCGTGCCTTTTAGGCATGAGATCACACTTCTCCCAGAGAAAGCTGTTCTGTGGTTTCAAACTCTCATTGAGGTGCCTCAGTGCCACTCCCTTTCTGCAGGGACCATAGAACTAGCAAACTTCTCTCTCCTATACACTTAACTTTTAATATCTGTTTTTATGAAATTATTCTCTTTTCATTGCAGAAAACACAGGTAGGCAAAAACAGGGAAAAAAATCATAATTCCACTTCAAAATGGTTCATTTTGGTATATATCATAATGGTCTTCCTATGCATAATTTTTGTATATGTAGATACATATTTTTAAAACAGAACAAAATGGTGTTTCCTCCACATGCTGTTGTTGTAACTTGTTTTTTTTCACTCAGCAGCAAAGTGTCATAAACGTGCTTCATTGTCAACAAGGATGCATGTATTCCGCTGCAGTCCAGGTACACTCTGTTCCAGTTATATGGAGGTATTGCGTTTTATGTAGTTACCACTCTTCCATTAGATCTTCAGGTTATGTCCAGTTTTTCCTCTGTTTTAAACAACATGGTGATAAATATAACCACATTTTAGTGCAGCAGTGATTCCATCTGTTGTACTGGACCATCTTCACATTGCTGTAAAGAAATGCCTGACACTGGGTAATTTATAAACAAAAGAGATTTAATTGGCTCACAGTCCTGCAGGCTGTACAGGAAGCACAGCAGCATCTGCTTGGCCTCTGAGGAAGCTTCGGGAAACTTACAATTATGGTGGAAGGTGAAAGGGGAGTAGGCACATCTTACGACCACTCTGGAGCAAGGGGGGTGGTGTCTCACACTTGTAAACAGCAGCTCTCACAAGAACTCACTGTCATGAGGACAGGACCAAGAGGATGGTTTGGGTCATTCATGAGAAACTGCTCCCATGTTCCAATCACCTCCCACCGGGCCCTACCTCCAACACTGGGGATCACAATGCAGCATGAGATTTGGTGGGAACACAGATTCAAACTATATCACCATCCTAGCAAAGGGCCTGTGGGACGAAAGGCTGCTGGAAGTCTTGGGTTAGTTGCCTGAGTGTTTTATTTTTATATTTTTGTGTGTATAGATTCATAGTTGTATTCATCCCGCACGTTAACATTGTTTATAGTCCATGTTGCTTCTGACACTCAGGTTGTTTCAAAGCTGTTGTGATAGCCACTTCCTGCTAGCTCAGGTCCTCACTGTGGCCCAGTCAGTCTCAGCTCCAGCACAATAGAATGTCCTGGGCTCACCATGGGCATCCTTGTCCCCACACTGGACTCATTTCTCCAAGCTG